AAAAAAAAAAAAAAAAAAAAAAAAAAAAAAAACTGCAGGAATTGACTAAAATTGGATTAAATCTGTAGATCCTTTTGTAGAAAATCACCTTCTTTGTTGGGGCTTTTACTGCATGGACATCACATGTCTCTTCACTTTACATATATTGACTTTGATTTCTTCATCATAATTTTGTAGTTTTTAGCACACAGATCTTCTATAGGTTTTGTTAGATTTAGGTCCACATATTTTTATTGGAGGAAAAGCTATTGTGAATTTTTAAGCGTGAGTTTTCAACTGTGCATTGTTAGTATAGAGAAATTTGATTAATTTCTGTATGTTGACTTAGTATCCTGTGATCTTGTTGAAGGATTTAGTTCCAAGGGCTTTTTTATAGGTTTTTTTGTGATCTTCTTTGTAGATAACTATGTCATCTGTGAATGGAGACTTTTATTTCTAGAGCTGTCCTTAGGGTTCCCTGATTCTTTTCATGCCTGCAATGTTGGTAGTTATATCTGTATTTGTGTTCCTAGTGGTGGTAATTTGTCCTTTCTCCTCTCCCTGTCTTCCTAAGACTTGATTGTAGGTATCATTTTATTGACTCTTTCACAGAACTAGCTTGTAGTTTCATGGCCTTTTCTTTTTTAATTCATTGATGCCTGCTCTGCTTCTTTCTGCTTGCTTTTTGATTTATAGGTTTATTTTTCCCTTTTGTGTTAATGTTGAAGCTGAGTTTAGTTATTTAGACCTTTTTTGTTTTCTGTGCAGTTTTATTTTATTTCTTTTGTGGTGCTGAGGATGGAACCCAAGGCCTTTTACATGTACCATTGAGCGACACCCATATCCCTTCCCGCTTTCCTTAGAGCGGCACAGTTTGTAATAGCTAAACAGCCCAATTGCCCATAAAGATAAAGAAGATTTTTTTTTTATAAAATGAAGTACTACTCAGAATGACCTGTTTAATGTCATGAATTTTCCTCTAAGCTCTGTTTTAACTGTACCCATACATTTTTGTGAGGCAGGCAGTGGCACCACTGAGCTAAATCCCCAGCCCAATCCATATATTTTTGATATGTTGCATTTCCAATTCAAAACGTCTTCTGATTTTCCTTCAGAGTTTTCTTTTGACCCACAAATTACTTAGGGTGTTCTAACAGGGTTAATTGATACTTAGTAACAGGAAAGGTTCCTCATAAGCATTACTTGGGGTCCCACAGCACTACTCGGAAGGTCCCCAAGGAGCACATGCTCTTCAACAGTGCCAGTTGGCAGACTCCCATGAGGGCTGAGTACTTAACAAGAGCACCGCGGTCCAGTAGTAATGGACTGGATGAGAAGTCACCAGAAATGCAGGAGTGTCAGTGGCAATGGGCTGAACTACAACTCTCCACAGCACTCTGTTCTACACCCAGTTCCTGCAGGCAGGGAATAGATTAAACTACAGAGCAGTGACCTTGTAGGTTCACCTTGTTCCATTGCATGACCAGCCCTGTTAGCCTATTTAGCATATGGGCAGGAGGGCAAGTTCTGCAAACAGCACTAGTTTGCCCAGTTCCCAGCATCCCTTGTCTTGGCACAGTCTTGGGAATGCAGAGGGGTACTTCAGCGACATGGTGTTAAATGTTCTACTTGTTCTTATGGATAGCATACCCTGTTAGATAATATAATCTCCTTTGCTTTCAGCTGTCAAAAACTTTAAAGAACCCAAAGAAAATGCCTGTAATAGTTATCAGGGTTTTCACAGATTTCTTCTGCTCTTCTTTTGTTCTTGATGTTTGAGATTTCTCTAGGCTCTCATAGCCCTTTTGTTTGAAATTCTTCCTTTTGCATTTCTTCTCGAACACAGTTTTGGCAGTGAATTCTGTTAGTTTTCCTTTACCTGAGAACGTCTTTGTTTCACCTTCATGTCTAAAGGATATTTTCGCTAGATAGGAAATTCTGGTTTGATGGATCAGTAGTTTATAAGGTCTGATCAAAATATACAATAAATGTTTACATTAAAATGTATTATAGTGAGCAACACCCCTTAAATTGCTCCCTCTCATTTCAAACTACTCCATATTTCCTGCCATGCTGAAGCCGTTCTGAAAGTCCCGCTTCATGAGTATCTTTATGAGGTGTGATCGCAGATTTGGCGAGTGTTACTGCCTTCTGCCATCCAGTGGAAAGTCAGGCTCGTAAAAACATAATAGTGCGTACTCATCCTGTTTATTCACTGGGTCAGGCACCATCCAGCCAGGCACAATCTGGCTCTTCCCCAGTGTCAAAATTACCACGAAGGGAAAATGTTTTGAGTTGATTCAGAATATGCAGATAGCCACGATAGCACAACTGAAAAAGCAAAAGAGGACTTCCAGAGCTGCTTAAGAAAGTGGCAAGAATGATGGAATAAGTCTGTTTAAAGGAAGGGGGTGAATATTTGAAGGGCATTATTGGCAGTGGGTCTTTTACTGTGGTAAAGTTTTTAAAAAAATGGTTTAGTGTTCACTTTATTTTTTGATCACACTGTGTGGCCCTGTCTTAATGCTTGTATCTGGCCTTCTCAGTTTGCCCTGAGAACTCTGTAGTAATTGAGTCCTCCTTGGTATTATATTTGTTTCTGCTTTCAAAATTGTGTCTCCATTGTCAGTGTTTAGCGGTTTGGTTATGCTGTGTCTGGGCATGCATTTTTGGGAGACTATCTTTCTTGGAATTCTCTAAACTTCTTGAATGTATAGTGTTTTGGCTTGTGTCTTGATGTCCCCCAAAGCCTCATGCAGTTATGGGTGGAGCTTTTTCTGGAATTGATTCATGGTGCAATGCCAGGCTCAAAAGCACTAGCATTGGGGGTGCGAGTGATATCTGAGGTGAGTAATCCACGTAAGATAAAAGGTGCAGAAAGATACTGTTGAGAGCCCCTCCACCCTGCCCTTCTTGCTTTTGCTCTCTTCTGCCACTGTGAACTGTTACCTCTGTGCCATCCTGCCTCGGAGCCAGCCAAGTATGGACTAAAACTTCTACAAACTGTAAGGCAAATGAACCTTTTCTCCTTTAATTTTGTGTGTTGGATATTTTGTCTCAGTAATGAGAGAAACGTAACTAAAATACATAGGTTTCTATCTATTACAAATTTTGGAAAGTTTGCATCCATTTTTTCACCCAGATACTCTTTTATCTTTGCAGTCTTTCTCTTGTCCTTTTGGGTCTCTGCTGACACTAGTATTAGATCTTTGTTATTATCCTACATGGATCTGAAGCTCTGTTCTTTTTTTTTTTTATCATTTTTCTCTTAATTTTCAGATTGCATCTTTTTAGCGATTTATTTTTAAGTTTATTTACTCATTATGTTTTCTCTCATTCATTTCAGTAAGTTTGCTTCTTGATTATCAGATGCCTGTTTGGTTTTTCTGTATATCTTCTGTTTATCTGCTGGGTTGGTTGGTTGTTCCCTTTCCTTCAGAATGTTCCTGATTGCTTGTGGAAGCATTTTTATAAAAGCTGCTCTAAAGTCATTGTCCAATTTCTGTGACTGTCATGTCCATGACTCCTTGTGGTATGGTCTGAAGATTGTCTTTTTGGAATTTCCTGATTCCTCATTAGCCCAGCAGTCCTGTATTTTATTCTAGCTATCTGACCATGGGATGAAACTTTGGGTCTTCTTTAGGTCCCGTGGGGAGAATACTGGGGTTCTGTTCAGCAGATGGTGGACCTGGTGGCGTTCTGGCCTTGCATTCTGACTATCTTTTGTGGGTGTTGGTTTCACTCAGTTTTGCTGTCCCATCCCTGCGGTCCTCTGGGGTCCTGCATCCATGCGTCTTGCCTGGCCACCTTCTGCAGCTGGGCAGTGGGGTCTCTGTCCCTTCAGTCCTGTCTGTGGGATGCAGGTTTGCACTGCCGTAGGAGCCGTGCACAGGAGCCCACACAGCCCTGCAGGCCTCTCTGTGTCGTTCTCTTACCACAGTGGGCCCCGATGCTCATTCTTGCTTCCATGTCCACCTCTAGTCTGCAGGGCAACCAGGCAGAGTGAGCCAGTGAGCGCATTGCCATCCAGTGTCACTTCCTTCCCATCTGTCACTGTCCTTTCCTTCCTTCCCATATGTGCATTCTGCCCAGGCTTTATCACTGACCTCCGTGAGGGACTGTGCCCCTGTCCCATCTTGCCCAGAACTGGACCCCTGGTGACCTGTAAGATGAGTCACAGACTTCCCCACAGTAGGCAGGATGATTGTGTTACTGGGATTCACTTTTGGTAAGTGACTTGCCCTTGTGCCTAAGAGTTGTTGCAGGACGTCAGCTGTGTTTTGAACCAGAGAACTTGTTTTTGTCATTTTAGTGAAACATTTTTTCTCCACAGATGAGGTGTCTACTTTTCTCCAGAGCTCCATCATGACTGCCACCGAGAGTGTTTCTCAGTTTGTCCTCAGAAGACTAACCATGCATGAACTGCAGAGGGTGAGTATCCCTGAGGAGCTGTCCTTGTCAGCCTCCACTTGGGTTTTTCTCTGGCAGTCCTTGTATTAAGCTAAATAGAAAAATTAATTTGATCATTTCTCTAGAAGCAGCTTTGGGAAGTGAGAGAAACACAAACTGTGGGATCATCTAGTTCCTATTCCGTTTGTGTTACTGTGACCGGGGCAAGTTACATAGTTCTTCAGAGCATCAGTTCCCTCATCTACAAAGTAATACATCTGTCTGCTTCCCAGGGCATGGAAAGTTCCAGAGGACAGGACAGATTTGCAGCACTATATACATTCGGTGCATGCATGGAGGTCCTGCCTTCATTTCTGCTCAGGCTTTTCGCTGCCTGGAGTCTTTTCTTTCTTGTGTGCTCAGCCTCTCCTCCAGGATTCTTCCTTAAGCATTTATGCAGCGTTAAGAGCTCTCCTTGAAAAAGAGTGTTCTCAGCCCCTGCCCCAACCCTTTTCCACTGTTTCGTGAGTAGGCCCACTGTGATCTGCTTTTGTCTCCCATGTGACATAGAGCTGGCTTTCCATTTGTTGGTGACCCTTCCTCATAAACCTAATGAATATGTGCCAGACTGTATTGTACTAGCTCTCTGGCCCTGTAGTCCTGAGCCACTACCTCTGCTGGGCTCCTGTGATGTCATCCCTTGGACTTGCCTTTCACTCGCTTTAGTTCCTTCTCTTCATAGAGCATCTGTTCTCTGCTGTCTGTCATTGGAGTTTGGCACTGCCCCTTTCCTCCCTCCCTCTCCTTTCCTTCCTTCTCCTCTCCTCAGGGTCCCTCCCTATTCCCCTGGCATCAGTTATACTCTGTTCCCACCCTCCACCTTCCAATGAATTAAAACCTTCAGCTACTGAGCCAAAAGCCCTAGCTGTTTGATTGCCCACAATGAGTTGAAATTGCAGCCCCTCGTTAATCCTGCAGTGTCTCCACCTGCCTTCCCTGAAGGCACCAGCAGTGTCTTAAGCCCAGAACTCAGAGGTGCTTCCTGACTTCTCTGTCCTCTTTCCCTGTGTTCAGTTTGTCACCCGCATGCTGTAATTGCTCCCTTCTGTTTGCACATCATTTACACCCAGTGAAGTGCCAGGTCGGTGCTCAGTAAAGTAGATTTACATGAATGAGTTATTTTCTGTGTGCCTTAGGAGGCCTCCAGTACAGTAGTAATCTACTGGTATCATGATAATTAAAGCCACTGCTAAGTGCTAGTCCCTTTGTCATTTTCTATCACTTAATTCTTTCAAAGCCCCTGTGTTGGATAGAGATCATTTTCTCCACCCTATAGATAAGGACTCTGAGGCCTTAAAGGTCAAGTGATTTGCCCTGGGTCCCAGAGCCAGTGAGTGGGATGGATGGTAGGTCTATGGTAGCTGGTTTTACTAGTCAAAAAGATGTGAGTTTGATTCTCTGTCTCCTGTCTAGTAGTTCTGAGTTGCCAAGCGAATGGTTCAACTTCTCCAAAACGTATTTTTTTCACTTTGAAAGCTTGTGAGAATTCACGATTGTAAAAGCAAGTGGCAGTTGCTACAATTGTTATTGGTGCTGTTTATGTAGGAATTGATGACACATAGCTTCTGTCTCATAGGGCCTCACAGTGGGTATGGGGGACAGATGACTTGATGTGAAATGTGCCTAGTGGGAAGTCATAGAGTACTAAAAAGCGAGTCCATAGGCCTTTGGGGGCTCATGGAGGCTGCTTGGGGGAGTGGCTCTCCTCTGAGTCTTATTAGCACTTTAAATGAGCCGACTGTTTCCTGTATGAGCTCTCGATCACAGAATTCATGGACCCTGCTTGCTCACTGAAGTGTTTTGATGTCTGGCTTAGGTTGCAGATCTGGATCGTTGCCATTTATACCTCATGCTATTAACTGTGCTCACAAACCTCCATCTGAAGGCAGGGTGGAAAAGGGGCAACTCCATCTTCAGAATTCTTTCTCCTTTGAAAAATGCATCTATGCGGCATCTTCAAGAAGTGGAAAGTGGAAAGGTAATCCTCTTAGCTCCGAGGTTTATGGCTATTTGAATAAGATATCGGAGAACACATATTCAGTTGTTACGTGCACAGTATCTCGAAAACATAGAAAGTATGTGCTGAAACATAATTGTGGAAATTGTGCCTGCAGGGGCAGGGGATTTAGCTCAGTGGTTCCACCGCCTGCCTCGCAAGTGCAAGGTCCTGAGTTCGATCCCCAATACCAAAAAAAAAAAAAAATTGTGCCTGCAGGTGATGATCCTGTGTGATTAGGATTACAATGTCATACTATTAAACATGTATCAGAAGTGTGATGGTTTCAGACTTAACAAATATTTAGATTCACACACTAGGTCTTCTGCCCACACATATGCAGTACAGGGTGCTTTCATCAGCCTGATACCAGAGCTCTCCATGCTCCGCCTCCTGCTTCAATTTCCACCTTTGTTGTCTGTTGTCCACCCTCCTTGCCACAGTGCCTTGCCCTGCAGGTAACCATGTAGAGGTTTTCTCTCTTAGCACCTGCCATGCTCCTTCCTCCAGGGCACCTGTGTGTGGCTGGTCCTGACCTGTGGTCCATTGGAAACTGCTTTTCTCTAGAGGTCTTCTTGGATTAGGGGCTCACTCTTTTGTTCTTATTCCATTGCTCTTTATGTTTCCATTGTGGTGTTTATTTCCATCTTTCTCGTTTGGGGACTAATTTGTGTGTATATGTCTCCACCAGGTATTAGCACCTGAAAGTATTTTTTAAACATCACACAGAAAGGTACAGCAGTGAAGAGTGAGGGCTTTAGAGACTTCTTGGGTTCAGACCCTGCATTATCCTTGTCATTGTGTGACCAAGGGAAAATTACATAAGCTCACTGACCCCCATTTAGTACAGTTGCAGGATGTGGATTATAGGGTTGATGTGGGAAAATTATGGCAAGCCCACGCATGGTGGTGAGTCTTTAGAACAGTCCTGGCATGTAAACACCAGCTAGAAACCTCAGTAAACACTAGCTATTTTCACTTGGTAAGAATTAATGCGGTTGAACTGAATCATAGTCAATGTGTCCGAGCCACTGATAAAAGCAAAGAAATAACTTGATTGCTTTAATAATTTAATTTCTAAAGTAGTTTTCTCTAGAACTGTCTGAAAGAAAGTAGCACAGAAGACTAACCTTTCATTGTCCTTGCAACTCAAGCAGAAAGGCCAAGTCCAAATTTTATAATCAGTGTCATTATAATCATAAGAGACCTAGTCCCTGTTAGTCTGTTAGTGATGTAGAAGAACATTATATGTCTCAAGTGTAGAATAAATGCACAGGCATCTCACAGTCATTCTTAAAAGCTGGCTTTCTGTCCCTGGTACAAAAAAAAAAGTTGGCTTTCTTTTATACTTCACCGAGCCATCCTTAGTTCAGAGTTGGTTTGAAAGTTGTTCTGTAGAGATTAATAGCTTTGGGGGTGGGAGGGACCTGCAGTAGGAGGTAGAAGGTCCTCCCAGTAGAACTGTGGCTGCTGGCAGCACCCACAGAAACCACTGTAGTGCCTGCCATGCTCCTATCTTCTTGCTTAATGATCTCTGATCTTCTGTATGTGTTAACCCTGGCTGTTAAGGTTAGCCATGCAGCGTTCCACAGGAGGAATTCCAGGTGCCTCACATGAAGCAGCCCTCTGTAAACCTGGGGAGTAGATTCTGAGACTGGCCCCACTTTGCAGATGAGAAGAAAACAAAGCTGCAGCATGGCCACACTCCTGCTGGTGCTGGTGTGGATCAGGGTTCAGACGAGCTCGGAGGGTCCCAGCTGCAGCTCAACCCTGCTCTGCCTGGCTCATAGAAGGAACTGTGTCTCACCTGAAGCCTTTTTCTTTTGTAACATATTTCAGTATCCAGTAAAATAAGACTCCACTCTGGGAATGTTGTGTCTGAGCAGGAAAAGGGTTGGGATATGCTCACTCATACATAGTTGGTCATTCATCTATGAGTTTTTAAGTTTTAGGTCCTCCTCTGCCAGAAGAGGAGGGCAGATTTTCTTTTTAATGTGAAATGCCAAATTCTCATTGCCATCTTAAATCCACTCATTGCCAATCTGTAGAGACATGACAAAACTGAATGACATGTGTTGGATTTCCTTTTCTGTCCCCTGATGTCCAAATGGCAGGCCCAAGAGTGGAGGGAGGTATGAGATTTTATAGCCCAGCACTGAGGTGTCCCTGCTGACTGGAACTTCGTATGTGAAATAAAAGGTCATTCTGTGTCCTCTTAGGAGCGGAGCCTTGGTGATCAGATCCAGAAGGTGGTCAGTATGGCCACTTTGGCCACAGTGTGTGAGGTCAGTGCCCTGCAGCCTGTGCCAGAGTTGGATTCCCTCGATGCTGAGCCCATGGATAGGTTCCTGTCTGCTTTTCCATTAAATCAGACGCTGCAGAAGCCCCACGCAGAGGAACCGGGCCAGTGTGCTCACCCCATGGAGAGCAGCAGGTAGGTGGGAGTATTTTTGTTGCTAAGGGCTGGAAATCCAGTCTTATCATTGGGATAACTGGGAATTGCCCAGCAGTGCTGATGGTGCTGTAAAGTTTGGGAGATGAGGCTCCGTTTAGGATCGCAGTACATGATCATATTATTCATCTCTTCTGTTGACATCTGACTTTGCTGCATTAGTTATTAAGACTCATTTAAGACTGGGAGTGAAAACTCTGTCACAAGAAAAGCATGAATTGGTTCCTGAGGATTGTGTCCAGACCAGACACCCCACTTTGCTGCCCCCCTTCAGCGCTGCCCCTAAGGAGCAAAGGAGATTTTCGGGGAAAACCACATTCAGACCACAGCCTCAGGTTCTCTGTTATAAGAATAGAGACAAGTTGGAGGGAGCGTGGCACAGTAACTTTATGTCTTACCTCAGTTTCTTTGAAGAGCCATCCTCACAAGGATGGGGGAGAGTGGTTGCACAGTACATCCATGATCAGTGGGTCTGCCTCTCCTTCCTGTTGGAAAAATACCACACCCTGGTTCCAGCCACAGATGGCAACATTCCAGAGCCCTTGCTGCCTGCCATCCAGATGCCTGCTCAGACTCTGCGGTCTGCACTGGACACCCTCTCCATCCTCCCTTCTGAGCAGGTCCTGCCTGTGTTCCGTTGCATGAAGGTGCTGGTTCCCAAGGTGAGACACTGTGTACCATGAATTGAAGACCAAGACACAAACAGCAGACATAGCTTCTGGAATTAAGTGATAAAGTATATTTTTTCCTTTTCTCCTACCAGCTCCTGACATCTGCTGAATCACTCTGCATAGAGTCTTTTGACATGGCCTGGAAAATTATATCTTCTTTAAGCAACACTCAGCTGACATTCTGGCCTAATTTAAAGGCTTTTGTTCAGTTTGTTTTTGATAACAAAGTTCTCACCATTGCTGCTAAAATCAAGAGCCAGGCATATTTCAAAATAAAAGAGGTAACTCATTTTCCTTTTCTGTTTGTGTCACCTGTGGCATGAGGGAAGGAGAGAGTTATGTTTGTAAGCAGGTATTATTAGATTTGCAGTTAGTCAACTCGGCCACTCAGTCAACACATTCTTGAACTTTAGAAATCAATAAGAATAAGAAGAGAAGGCACAGATTAGGCGCCAGTGACTCACATCTGTCTCACCATGTTTTATTTGGTTCATGAAGTATTTAAAATTGTGAATATAAATTGGCAACTTGAGAATTGGGAAACTTGACTGGGTGTGGTAGTAACCCTATATGCTTGTAATCCCAGCTACTTGGGAGGCTGAGGTAGGAGGATTGCAAATTTGAAGCCAGTCTGGGCAGTGTAGTGAGACCCTGTCTCAAAATAAAAAGGGCTGAGAGTGCAGCTCAGTTGTAGAGTGCTTGCCTAACACATGTGAGGCCCCATGTTCAATCTCCAGCACTTAAAATCAAATTGGAGATCTAAAATCAAGCAGTATTTTCTGACCCTAGGTAGATTGGTAACTGTAATAGGGCAGCACTGTCCTTCCTGCAGGACCTTGGGCCATGACAGCAAATAGAGTGGCACACTCTCCCCTTCATTTCCTCTGTAATTGGTCTGGTTCCTCCCAGAAACTGAAAGCAGATTCCAGTACCTTTTGTCTTTGCGCCTGTGCTGGAGTTTCTTATGTAGAGAAACAGTCCTCTGAATGTAACCCTTATCTGGAGATCTTTCTGGGACTGAAAGGCTCAGCACCAGAGCGCTGACCTAGCACGCACAAGGCCTTGGGTTCCATACCTAGCATGCCTCCTAGCCCCTCAAAAATCTTTCAGGCTATTGTGGTATAGTCAGCCCTCCATGTCTGTAGATTTTGAATTTGTAAATTGAACCAACTGTAGATCAACAAGGCATTCCACATGTGCTGAACATGTACAGACTTTTTTCTTGTCATTATTCTTTGAACAGCACAGTACAATGATACAGTATAATGACTACATAGAATTGACATTGTATTAGGCATTATAAGTCATCTAGAGGTGACTTAGCATGTACACATGTACATAGGTAATATGCAAACACTGTGCTGCTCCACGTGAGGGGCTTGAGCTTCTGCAGATTTCCACATTGAAAGGGCACCCTGGAAGCACCCCCCACACACACCCCAAACCCCTGTAGATGCTAAGGAACAGCTGTTTTTGGATTTGCAGCCACACATACAGTAGGAAAAGTAAGCTGAGGGAATTCCACCTGGCCTGGGAATCCAGTCATGCCTCCTGTCCTTGGGAAAGTTGAAGGTCAGATCCTTTGATTATTCCATGGTCTGTGGCTCTCTGGTCCTCTTCCACCCCACAGTACACATTTGGAGACGTGGGTCTGTGTGGCCTCAGCCAAAGGGGGCTCTGTGGAATACAGAGAAATTGAAAGATTCATGTGAAGTGTTTTTACCCTTTTTTTCTACCTTGGGCAGGTACTTCTCTAGAAAAGTTCTGGGTGAATGTCACTATTGATAACATTTTGTTTGTTTGGTATGGGGTTTGAACTCGGGTCCTTGCATTTGAAAGGCAACAAGGCAGGCAGTGGAACCACTAAGCTAAATCTCTGGCCTAATAACATTTTATTATTGAGATGAAGAAGTACCACTCTGTGATTATTGATCATCTTGCAAAATTGTTCCAATAATGAACTTTAATTTTTTAAAGACTATTCATGATTATGGTGAAACAGCCATTGAAGTACATTTTTAGCAACATTAATTTTTTTAAAACTAAATTGTTCAACCCAAATGCCCATCAACTGGAGTCTGGATAAAGAAGATGTGGTTTTTCTATAAGATGGGGTACTACTCAGCCATAAAGAATGAGAAACTAGATTCAGTTTTGGTTTGAAATTTACTTTGTCTGCAAATAAGATTGCTACCCCTGTTTTTTTCTGGGCTCCTGTCACATGGAGAATTGTTTTCTATCTTTTCACTTTCAGTCTATGGGCTTCTTTTTGCCTTAGGTGTGTTTCTTGTATACAACGTATTATTGGATTTTGCTTCTTATTCCATTTTGCCAGTCTGTTTCTCTTGATTGGTGAGTTGAGGCCATTGATATTGCTGGTTATAACTGATATATACTGACTTATTATTGACATATTATTGGCCTTTTTTTGACTCTTTTTACTTTTTCACCTTCTCCTTTTAATTTCTTGCCTTGCCTATTTGATTTGCTCTGTTGGGCCTCATGGTGTTGTTGCCTTCATTGTCTTTTTCTAGGATCTTGACTGAATCTAGTATTATTGATGTAGTACAGTACTGTATCATACCTCTATGAATGTAAAATATCTAGTACCTGCTTTATGATACATAGTAGGGACCGTGCTTTATCAGAGCTACATTTAATGATATTACTCTAGAATGTTCTCTTTCCAGATGATGATTAAGAGGCTAATAGAAAAAATGGTGCCAGGTACCACAACAGCAACAGAACTTTGCTGTTGTCTGGATATTATTCTTTTCTTT